TAAATTAACTGAATAGCACTGTTATTTCAACAATCAATGCAAACAAAGTGTTACATAATACAAACAGAATAAATATATGAATGTCCAAGATGACTTTTACATAAATTCTGAATCCGGATAGATATTATCAGTCAAATATGTAAAATTTATTAAGTCACAGCAAGCTTTGCTAAATATTTGGTGTAACACTACTCCTGATTGGCCAAACCTTTCATTGACGTGGGTGCTATCTCAAATATCCAACCAATCGAGGAGCATGTGACAAATAAAGATTCTAGCACTAAAACATTGCATATACATTCAGCAACTTATAAACAAGTGAAATATTGTTTTCTACCAAGTACCAACTGAAGTAATTAAATCCTGTATGCTATTTACAATTTAAATACAGAAACCAGGCAGTGAACTACAAACATTTATAACAATTTTCAAAAGTATTTACATACTACACAGTAGGTACCCCCCTCTCCTGCATAATGGGCTGGTCTACTTTCTGAAATCAGTTCAGTCAAGTATTTATATAGAAAATCAGGATTTAAACCTTGCACACTGGAAAAATGAAACATGCTGGGTCGGCTTGTAATACAACTCTCCCTTTTAGGTTGAGCTAGGGTGACATTGTTTTAAAGCAACCCACTAAATTGAGCTTACATGACAACATACATGATATACAATGAATGAAATTTATGCACGTTCAAGTCATTAGTGTATAAGAAAGGCGCTTCAGTAAAGAGCTGTAATTTCACAATAGACACATGTCAGCAATTTGGAGTGAGGCAATAAAATTGACAAGTATAGAAGTTTATCACAGAGGGTTTAGTGAAATTTAATCTTTGCGAATGCCATCACTCATTTTAATCATGAAAATTACTAATAATGTCTCTCCTATGTAGCGGCCAAATCCTAGGTAGTTTAAGCTGCACAATATTATCCATGCTAACTGGATATATACAGAAACACACCAACTCAGCACTTTGAGGAGCTATGAACCTGGGGAAACCATGGACTAAGTACCAAGCATTTACTGCTGTGTAGAAAGTACCATGAGCAAGGACCCAAACTCAAAACCCTTTGGTTGTCCAGAGTTATAACCCTTCATCTAAAATATCTCCATGGCGATGAAAGTTTGTGCATTTATACATTTAGATTGAGCAATTGAAAGCAAATGGTCAAATAATAAAATAAATGTATGCTCATTAGAAGCAGTTTTTTTTTCTGAAAGAAAAAAACATCAACCCAGGAAATGAATTTGTTTAACAATGTTTCTATAAGAATTTGATTTCAGAAATACAAATAGCCCAAAGCATGTTACTATAATTGGAATAGTTTTTCATACATTGATATCAAATGTAATCACCTAATATTTAGACCATATATAAAAAGATATATATAGTACTGCCCTGGTGTGGTGTGCAATGCTATATAACCACCAATTTATTTGGGGAACAAATATGAGATGGAAAGCCAACAAATAGGACAAGAACTCTCAAGCACAGTAAAGAAAAGTACTGTGTATTTTGAGGTCACACAGCCATAAGCAGGGAAGGGAGTGCATACAAGAGTAATCTTTTGTAAAAAGAGCATTCTGTGAACCATAATAAACTGCTTTCATCGATACATTTTCAAGGCATTTTTGTTTGTTTTTTTGCTTTTCCACCTATAAATTTGAATATACTTTAAATTTTACATAGTAATTATGAAAACAAAATATCTTTGAAGTTCAATATCAATAACATGATTTCTGTACTTTATAAACTATCTAAAAAAGAAAAAGATAAAAAATACCTTTAAAAGTTTCACTCCACACGTATTACACATTTTTAGAAAAAAAATGTATTTTACCATTAAAGACTTGTACATTCAATTTTATTGAATATTTTTTTTTAAATACTTTGGGCAGGAATTTGTTTACATTTCCAAGACATTATGTCTCATTAATAAAACATGGAATGCGTTTTTAACCAATGATGCTAACTCTCAAAAGTAAACACAAATTATGAGTAAACTTGTACAGTGTAGATGATAATTGAGATGTTATCCAAATATTCTGGATACACAATATATCAAGAGAAAGCAGCAATGGATATCATATAAAAAAAAAACAATCCCATGTGAAAACATTTCTACATATATTAGCTATAATAAAATTTAAAGAATTCTATCCCAATCAAAGGTATCTTCTTCTTCATCATAACTCCCTTGGAGTGAGTTTGTGGTTGTGTGTGTTCTTTGTTGTGGTAACTGCATGGTTTGTTGTGGACTTATCTGTGAACCTGTGCTGAACCCAAGATTGCCTGACGCTCCCATCAATGAATGCGTCACACCACTACTCTGAAGACTACTACTGTATATACTACCAGCTACAAATAAAAAAAATAAAATTTAATAAAAACAAAAGCACATAAGTAAAATATTCTCGCATCAATACCAGGTTCTTGTTTGCCAAGGATTAGATGGTGAATGCTAATGACAAACCTGTATTACATGTATTACTAATTAACTGAAAATGAAAGTTGACCCAATCACTGAAGGTGACTATAAAAGCTGATCAACGGAGATTTTTTTCTATTTCTACATCAAATAAGTACATACTATGTATCATCAGAACAAAGTGACAAGAAAACATTACAATGAACAAAACCACAAATTAAATGAAATCATACATCAAACTTGACAATAAGGAGCAACTAAACATAACATGTATACCATTAAACAGAATCGTACATTGAACTTGACAATAAGGAGCAAC